AGGAAAACTATAACAAACTTTTCGGTATTAATAAAGATTGTAGGCATAATGACGATATTGTTTGACCAATTTTCTAGACAAACATATTATTAAGTAGAATTCACCCTTGGCATAATGACGATATTGTTTGACAAATTTTCTAGACAAACATACTATTAAGTAGAATTCACCCTTGGCATAATGACGATATTGTTTGACAAATTTTCTAGACAAACATACTATTAAGTAGAATTCACCCTTGGCATAATGACGATATTGTTTGACAGATTTTCTAGACAAACATATTATTAAGTAGAATTCACCCTTGGCATAATGACGATATTGTTTGACAGATTTTCTAGACAAACATATTATTAAGTAGAATTCACCCTTTGCAAAACATGTTGCTTACTCATAATTTTCGTTAATTAAACCTTCAAATTCGGCATTTTTCATAAAATACAATTTGAATTCTAAATTAAACATTTTTATTTCCGAATACAAAAAAGTCCAAATAAAATATTCTCTCAACTTTACCTTTCAAAGCTTATAAGGTACAATAGAATTTCTTCAAAATTATAAGATTTCGTAAACAGAACTTGAAATATTTGTCATACTTTTCACGAGCAAAGTTTCTCCTACTGTACTCCAAGTTTACTCAATGTTATAAGAAGTTCAAGACTGGATTCTACGACATCATCGGTATAAGAGGCGTGGCCTTGGCGTTTGATAACTTGCTCTTACATGCTGCTCCAAGTAAGTTTTAAAACCTCACTATTGCAATTTCGTGGTTTATTTAATTTACCATACATATATAGTTGACGTACCATAGGAGGCCCACAGAAGTGGCGCATGGATTTTAGATCCGAACAACTACTCCCCTATGTCATTCCCTGTGGGCCCTAATGGAGCATGTCAGGTGTGGTGACAATAGGTACAGCGGCTTGTCAGTTATAGGCGGACACACACACGGACTTTTGTCATATAATGGTTTGGATGAGATATTTTTTGCTATGCATATACATACAAATACAGTAATGGAAATAATTATAGAAACATACAAGCGATATATATATATATAAAGGATTCACAAAAAAAACATTAATGGCAGTTAACTGGTATATACAAAGCATTATTACAGAAAATACAAAAGAAACGCTAATAATGCTCTACTACTATTGTGAGACTGTTTGTTTGGTTGCTTATTGACCTTCTTAATTTTTATATAAATGCATACAGTCTAAAGAATGGTCATATCAAGACTTTGTGATGGTCCAGTCATGAATATGAGTGTCTCATTGGCTTCTTTGTTGCTGTAAGATTGAAGTCATTATCATACCGGAAGATGAATTCCCGTTCAGTGAGTCATGTTCCAGAACGAATGGAATGATGGATCAGAATTTACCTGTACTTATCAGTAGTCAGAGCCATATATTTTGTATATATCACTGATGATGTTGGCTGAGATGCGGCTTCAAACTTGTACTGATTTCCAACCAGGCTTCACTGTCCACTGAATATACAGTTATTATTCTCTCAGTCATTGAACAAACCGTTGTTAATTGTTGCTAAACAATTCGAACTTGAATTCTTAAAGAAATAATAAAAAAGTCTCCAGCGTTGCTCGTTCCATTGTTTGTGATATGATGTGCATTTAAACCTTTTGATGTGGTTACTTCGTGCTAATGTGTATCTTACTGTTCTCGTGGTAACATCCACACCTCTATTAACATTAACGTCGCTGGCAAGACCATTGTCTAGTTTGTAAAGAACATACCCATAGACGCTAACCTCACTTTTGGAGAGTTGGTTACCTACCTTGACCACTTCTATTATTAACAATGTCAGTTTCACGTATCCTCTTCAGAGTCAAGCACCAGCTTCTACTGAAACATGATGACTTATCGTAATTTTTTCTCATGAAGTATGATTCACCGGATAAAGTATGATTTATACATAATTATATTGACTATTTCAGTCCTGGAAGCTATGATTTAATTCGCATTCTTACTACTATTGGGCAATATGACTGTACTTTGGAGCAGTTAATCGGTTCATTTTCACACGATAAAGGGTGACATTTTGTAATACTTGTCTTTTATACCCTTTTTGTTCAAGCTTACATGATTATTTCTACTTGTTTCGGTTATGTATTAAAAACCATATATTTTTAATGTTATACTAATTAAAATTACCCAGTCGGGATCGTGAGGACGATTTTCATTATTCCCTTGCTATATATTGGTATTATGTCTATGTAAAGAAGCAGTGGCGGAACATCAGTATGATTCTTCACGTAGGCGGTTAGTGTGCATTACTTTGATTTTTATAAGTTTCATTTATTGTTTGATGTGTATTCCTGCTAATAGGTGAAGACTTGTAAGTATATTTACGTTCAGCGTATTGGCGAACTGTATGGGCCTTAGGAGATAATGACTGTTATTTTCCATTAGTTTGATAAATAAAAACCTATTCCATTTTTCTTTATAATTACTTTCATTAGTATTATTTATTATAATATTTAAAACGATATGTACAAAGATAATGGCAATGGACAAATTTTTTATTTTCTTTTTAGGCTAGAATCTCATAATAGATATCTTGGTTTTTGGTATTTATGCCAACTTCCATCATTATTATATAGTGATGATTTGACCGCCTATGTACAATTAATGTGCACCCCTCCCCCCAGTGGCACAGCGGTATGTTTGCGGACTTACAACGCTAGAAACTGGGTTTAGATACCTGTGGTGGGCAGAGCATAGATAGCCCACAGTGTAGCTTTGTGCTTAATTAGAAACAGTTAATGTTGTGTTTTTACTTAGAATATTATGGGATTTTATTTAGCACTAATAATATAGGATTTTAGTACTAGCGTAAATCTTCTAAGTTAATCGAACCTCTTGACATATTATTGGGATTATGGCCGAAAATATTGTTAACTGGGAAGGTACACAGCTGATGATTTAATGCATTATAATGATGTGAATTAAATTATTATCAGTTTTATTGTGACGTCACATCACTCGTATATTAACATATTCTATTCATCAGATATTTTTATTTTCTTGGGTATTAATTTGTGATATTATAAGTATTTCTAATTAGTTTATTACATTGGATTAGTTTCATTACCTTACGAGTTACTTTTTAGTTCTGTTTGTTTCAGTCTTTATTTTTGGACTGGTATACTAAGGAAGGCAGTTGGCCAATAGTAACTACTGCGTTTTATTGGGCTACTTTAATAAAATGGTTAGATTTGACCGTCACTCTTATAACTCACTCACCACCCTGAGGTACCAAGATACCTTTACTAAACTGTTAAGCAATCTACGGTCATGTGACCTCTTTGTTTCATACTGTATACATATTCCTATCTCTCTGTAAACTACTTCTACGGGATGATGACATAGTCTTGTCGAAACGTTATACATTTATAATAGTTTTCTTCATTACAAATTCAAGCCGTCTCCAAACTTTCAGTCATCTCTGTTTATGTATTTTTATTAGCAGTAAGATTTTATAACACCCCTGTATTTTTATTAGCAGTAAGATTTTATAACACCCCTCTTTCAAAAGTCGGAATTATTCATCCATATTTTTCCACTTATTAGCAGAATTCTTAGAATTAAACAATTTTTAATTGAAATTTTAAGAAAATTACACAACAAATTTATTCAAAATTCAGATAAAGCATGGTTAATGCACGTGCATTTTCTTTAAAATATGAAAATGTAGCATTTTTTTAGTAACACAAAACAACATAAACGACAGTGAAAATTGGCTTTTGAAAATAGTTGTAATGCTACAGCAATACAGGAAAAGTTTTTTTGTTAAATTTTAGCAACCTACACACAGAAATTAACATGCATCCATAAAAGTCGTTCTTAGTAAGCCTTACACCTATACATATAATTCGGTAATAAAGTTAGAAGAAACTATTTTTTTTTCTCCAGATAATAATAATAAAAACATTACTTCTTCAACATTTCGCTATTGCGGCTTCACCTGGGCTAGTAGTACAAGAACTGTGAAGATATTTTCACATCAAACAGTTCTTGTACTACTTGACTTGATTTTATCAGGATGGCGAAATGTTGGATGAAATAAAACGTTTCTTATTATTATTATATAAAGAGTAAATATAGTTTTTTTTTACTTAATTCTACAACGTCTAAATCCCTCCAGTATGCACTACAAATTTTGAAAAACAATCTAGGCGTATAACTGTTATTTTGCATATTTATTTTTCTCTTCTCCTATATATTCATACTCAATGAACAGAGAGATATTAGTTATCCCAAATGATATTATTCTGTTAGTAGTTACGAGGTGATATTCAATAAAATATTTAGAGTTGTGGGATTCCAAGCCACGGTCTAAAACTAAGACCAATCGAATTCAAAAGAGAGGAAACTGTTTGCAACACTTTCTTTTAAACAGAATTTTCAATATCTTACGTGTTCAGGGACCTAATTTTTTAAGCGATGTATTTACCGTACCCTGGAGAGAGATAACCGTCAGAAAAAAATGGCTCAGTTAAGCGCAACTCCGACAAACTCACACCCGTTTTGCCAAACTATGTTATTGTTAATATATATATATACAACATATTTAGAAATTTAAAGTCACAATCGTAATATAACTTCCTTTTACAAAATAGATGATAGAAAAACAATAAGGTGATAGGGTAACATAAAGAAAAACTGAAGTGCACAAGCTAAAATATCTCCCTGGTGTACTTGCACGAACTTCAACTAACTGTCTACCCTCACAGATAAATGAGTACATTCCTATCGCCTTGTTTCTGCAACGAATGAGCCTTTCTAGTCGCAATTGGACTTATCTAATATTTCTCTCAGAAAATATTCACTCTCATACCTATATTGAAAATACGATTTTTGTAATGCTGTCTGACTTTCGAATAATTAAAGTTGAAAGGGTGCTTAGCTATTGACAACATTTGCGGCAATATATATTAGGGCGAAAAAGTAATTCCCTTGATCATATACCTTTAAAACAGACGACAAAAATGAAACGTTGGGCTCTAAGTAATAGCGTACCACTAGATGGCGCTTTAATACACAAAGGTTGTTTCATCAGTTTGTGAAAAGAAAGACGGTATTGATAAACTGTTTTTCACGGTAAGTTTTATTTTAGTTCTTTATTATCGTATTATAATAAATAATTTAGGTTGTCTGTTAAAACTTGGGACCCAAGCTAATATGGGCTAAAGTTTTAATGACTGGAAAGGTCATTGGCTAAAGATGAGTAACTTGCACGTTCGTTGGACTTTGTGTCATCCAATCCGGTCGACGCCATACTGGCAAATAGTTATCATCCTCTCGACCAGTCTACGTGTGATTGGTTTCCCTTGTGCTTCACTCTTGGATCCACTAACATTCATTGATGAATTGGAAACGCGGGTAAATCTTAAAATACCACAAGTAAAATCTCGTGGTCATTTGGTTTTGTTATGTTATGATAACAAAGCACACCTATGTCGCTTTTTTGTTGTATTGATGTCTGTCGGAAAATTACACTTGAACGAAATTTCTGTGAGCCTATACTTCTATAGACTATGGTCTAGAATACTGAATAGGCACGTTTGTGTTACGTGAATTTCTATTTTTTATCTTTTAGTTTCAACTGTTTGTAATTAGTAGCTCTTTCCTCACGTAGCAACTTGTAAGTTGTAACTTAATTACTAATCAACAGATCCAAGATGAAAGTTTTCTTTGTTTTTCAAAGAATCCAGAAATTCTTTGTTTAGTGCGTTAAATTTAAAATGCAAAATAACACTTGTAATAAAGTTGTATAAATTCTGATTTTTCGTTTTTAAATCGCATAAGTATAATGACTTTAAGGTGTAGGGTATCACTTACTCAGTTACTCTTCATAGAATACAAGTTACATTTTGTTATAATACATATGTTTGAAGTGTTGACTTCCAATAAAACAAGTAGTTATATATTAATACAAATTAGTTGTTAGTCCTCATTTTAAATTTTTGTATAGTTTTGACTTCCTTATCTAAGAAATAATAACTTAGTGGAAATGATTCAGAGGAAGGGTACTGATGATGAATGGAATTTTGTGAAACTAATATACCCAAATAACACATGTTGATCAAAGTGTAGATTGAATTTGGATTTCAATATTAAACAATTCTTGGAATACTAAGTTTATTTATTATGTCTGCTATTGTGCAGCTATATAATGTGAAGAACTGAATAGTGGCCATTGACACCTTTTCTTACTTCATTTATCCAGTGTATAGATTTTCCTCATAGTGACTATAAAGCACATTCACACCAACAGTATGTTTGATACTGATACCAGTATTACTAGTGACAAGATGATTCAGAGGATGGAAGGAAAATCTTATGGGGATAGCATTAGTGAGAAAAAGAATATATGATCTTACTGATAGTGATATATACAGGGAATTGATATGATAATCTATTAGTTTTTTTTTAATCTGAATTATGAAGATAATAGGATGAGAGAACACGACTGTAAGATTTGGAAAAGAGGGTCTGGGCTCCAGTTAAGATCTTTTCATTTTTCTAACAGGGTGTCTATCACACGGAATGACTTGACTTTGGCAGTGTTGGAGGCCAATATATTACAGGAGTTTAAAAGAGAAATTGACGATTTTCTGATAAATAAAGGGTGGGTTTAATTTCTACCTTTCGGTTTATTTGTAGTGAGTGTTCAAGGACAGCCTACAACTTGTAGGGCTAGTAATAAAGGTCCCATGCTATCCATATATTGTGACTATATGCATACTGTAGGTTTCTGTAACTTTATTATTTTTGTTTCTTTAATGTTTTTATTTATTCTTGCTCAGTTACTTATGATAGAATTCTCCAGAAATTATTCATACTCATAGAAGCCTGACAAGAGTGTATGAAATCAAATTTGATAAGCATACTTTTCTTTCTCTCACCAGAAATTACTAACAAAATTCAAATACTGATTCATGTAGTTTATAAATACAAATGCTTAAAAAAGAAGAAAAACGTTTCAGAGTAGAACATTGAGGTTTTGTTTACTAAAGCTAGTTAACTATAACAAAATCAAATGAGGCAGCATAACTTGATTTTAATTTCAAGGACGTGTTCTTGTACAACATGTAGCTGTAGGAATGCATTTATGAAAGCATTTGGTAATATTTCCAACTTCTTAAATTGGTAGAATGTCTGTATTATCATTTAAAATTTATTCTCATCTACTTCTTACCTTTACTATTACTATCTTATAGGATACATGTTTTTGTTGACCATCTTTATAATTTTTTGTATATTCTTTATTCAATTTTTCTCCTAGGTTAAACATAGAAACTTGGTTCAGATTTAGAGTTTACAGAACATGTACAAGCATTTCTGACTATATTTATAAGATACCTTATTTTTAACTGTTCTTTTAATTTATAGTTTATCCATATTTGCACCATATCATATTGCAATGGGTTTACTATTTAATGTGTATTGAATGAATAGAAAAGTGGTTAATATTGATTGTAATTTTAAAGTAATTAATCTAAATACACAATTTTCATCTGTATGTAGTTTCAGCTAAAATAATATTAGTTTTTGTGTTTTTTCTTATCTTAACATTGCTACTTAAACTATTTTATTTTATTTTTTGTGTATATAGATTTTATAGCTGTGATTTAGCTAAGGAAAAAAAAGATGTCTCAGACAGAACTGACATATAACTCTACATCAGGTAGTAGCCAAAGTCAGACAGAAGCCCATGAGAAACTAGACTCATTTTGGCTAAATGTTATGGATGAAATTAGAACAATGAGCCAGGTAGGATTACATGTTATATCACTAACATCACTTTTTATACCTGAAGCATTTTGTTTAAAGTATTCTCAAATTTTGATGAAAACTTCAAATGTTTTTCTGTCTTTCAGTTCAGTGGTATTGGAATCACATATTTGCAACTTAAGCAGTATGATTCTAAACAAAACGTGCAAGGTGAGGAAGACCATTTGTCCCTCACTCACAAAAACAAGCCATCAAGTAAAATACATGTGAAATGTGTCTATTTACAAAGTTAAGTACCTATCTAATAAAAGTTTAAAAAATTGAGATAATAGCATATTCCACGTAATCAGACAAACCATTCCACAAATTTTGTGGGGACTTTAAGTTTAAGGAGGCCCAGAAAAACACAATATGCTACATTTGTAAACTTGCGTACTTCAAGATAAGTTTAAGATAGTTTTTGGGAAAATTGTACTAGTCTATTGGAGGGGAAAAAAGCATGAGATCAGAAGCAGAATTAACACTTTGTATCCAGACCTTCTTGTTTTGGCATGTCATGATATTTTATAGTATTACATTCAAAAGTTAGTTAAACAGTGTTATCACCAATAAACTTGGCATAGAAATGTATACTACTCACAAAAATTAAAGGATAATGAGATTTGTTTAAAACTTGTATCTTTTCAGGTTATATATATATATATATATTTTTTTTTTAATTTAGCATGCTTATTGTAGAGTATTACACTAATCCTACCTATGGTTTATAAGTTTATGCACCAGTGACTTCTTATGTAATAGGTCTTTATCAGAAATGATACATATTCTTTAAAGCAAAAGGCTACTTTTGATTGATTAGGAAAGATGTTTACAGTTGAGATAATACCAGGTTTTTGGACTTTTTTTTGCTCTTATTGATTTTTGTAAAGAGTGTGCAAGCTGTTAGAAATCAATTAACTGAAACTGAAGTTTGCAGAGTCATCACACTGCTACAGGAAGGCTGCACCCAGCCTGAGGTGGCACAAGTTATGGGGGTATAGCATTCACCAGGAGGCCAAGTCAGGGTTGCAGAAGGGCTACAGGTGAAGTAGACAACCGATATCTGAACAATTTGGCACACTGAGGCTGCACCAACAGCACTAGGATCCTCAAGAGTGAACTTCAACAAGCCACTGGAGTGAATGTATGTTTCTAAACAATAAGAAACAGCTCCATGAGGATGGGCTCAGGTCTAAGATACCAGTTAGAGCCCCTGTACTAACCCCAAGGCACTGAACAGCCCAGCTGGCATTTGCCCAACAACATATTAACTGGACCTTTCAGCAATGGACCCCTGTACTGTTCACAGATGAGAGCAGGTTCTTTATGTCTTCAAGTGATTGACATCTTAGGGATTGGAGGTCTGAAGGAGAGCAATATTTGGCCTGTAACATAATCCACCATGTTGCCTTAGGGGGTGGGTCAAACATGGTCTGGGGTGGCATCAGCATGCAGGGGTGTACAGGCCTCTATGTGGCGGATAAGAAATCCCTGACAGCAAGACATTATGTGGATGAAATCTCTCTACCCGATGTTTGCCTTTTTGCTGGTGCTGTCAAAGATGAGTTTATGTATCATTAGGATAATAACCCTCCTCACACCACCAAGAACATGCAGAAATTTTTTCAGGATGAAGCAATAGATTTGTACCTGATGATGACAAAACCTTGTTGAAATGTTGTACATTTGCTGTTATGTTAAACTTGTATTAAAATTTTTCTTCATTACCCATTCAAGCCGTCTTCAACCATTATAAGGATCTAAGATATTGGTTAACACTTGAATTAAAAGATGGCATGTTTACAGCATCAAGCCTCCACAGCTTTTCATTTCAATTGAACACTTTTAATGCAATCTATGAAATAAGTTCTAAAGTAAAATTCTGAATAAACCAGTGTAAGAAAGAAAATGTAGCTTAGCAAAAGAAAGAAAAAAATAGATGGATTTCACAAAAAAATTAAGAAAAAGTTAGGATAACTGAAGCAGACATGACAATTGACATGATCAAATGAAGCTCTTGAAGAAACAAAGTAAATAAGACAAATTGATGCTTAAAAAGATGAGTTCTTGTCCCTCTGTGTCTTCTCCATGCATTGAACTGGTACATCAGCTAGTTTTAAAGTAATTCCTATTATAAACGAGTTCTTGTCCCCCTGTGTCTTCTCCATGCATTGAACTGGTACATCAGCTAGTTTTAAAGTAATTCCTATTATAA